CATGCGAAGAAAAACGGATGGCGTATACTGTTGTTGTTTCTTCCCATCTTGAATTATTAGATATCAACTTGGTATTTATAGTTTCGAGCTTGAGTGTCGTTGATAGTGTCATCCCTGTAATGTATTCCATCGTAAACACGTTGCACTTATATCACGTTTAGCTGTTTACTGTAATGTAAAGTTGTGAGAAAACATAAATCCCTAATGTAGTCCCTGTAGTGTATACCGTCATAAGAACATTGTTCATATATTACATTTACCTGGTTTACTATAATGCAAAGTTGTGAGACCAGTTACATCTGTTTATAACATTAATCTTTAGTATGCAGGTGTTTTGGTGATATCGTTATGTTTTGAGAAAATATAATCAGATATGATTAAAGAAAACTTTTAATTTTTTTCCCTAGGCTCTAGAGGAACATACGACAATATTGACTATACCGGTCAACAGAGTGTGCCTAAGACAACTATTGATACAACACACGAACACAGTCCAGATGCCATGTTACCTTCGTATCACAACCCTTAATTTTCATTTGAAACATATTCTTTACAGCCACCTAGGGTCTGTAATTTGAACAAATATATATAGCAGTTATTGTTAAAAAAAGAAAGATAAATAATTCGATTATATGATCATACTTCATTGCACGTTCAAATCTGAATAGGTTAGTGCTTGTCAATGTCCTAAGATCAGAGTGCCTTTGTTAGTGATTGGTATGTAAAGATTTTTAAGATTCTGTATTTGAACATTTTAAGACTTCAAAACTCAGTTTATTTTTACTAAATTATGCTCGTTTTTTGCACCTAACAATTAACTTCAAAGATGCCATTTTGTTTTTTTACACAACATTATTTTTCGAAGTGTTTGAGGTTGAATTAAATTTTTTTATGTTCACATATTTCAAGTTTATTCCAACATCTGGATGTGTCAGGTTGACTGAGAAGGTTTTCTGCAGGGAAAAAATATCATTTGTTGTAGAATTAACGTAATATATATGATATCAGAGCTATAGATAGATATATTATTGTAAAATTAAAATCAATAAATGGTCTCTTGTTTGAAGAAAAACGTTCACAAAAATGCGACTTATTTGTGTTTTTGAACGTACCATATATATAAAGTTATTCTTTGCTTAATAGAAAGTTAACAATAGATTTCTGGTTTCACGTAAAACATTTTTCCATCACTGTCATTTCAATACTAAACTTGTGTGTTCAAAACTGTACACGCGTCGGTAATATCTACGCTTTCAGTTGCAGGTTTAGTATTTTTTAATCCAGAGGATACTAGAGATATTTTAAGTTTTTATAGCTCAATGGTAACCTTGGAGCATTGTATGAAATTCTGTGCATTTCACAAAAATCTCTCCATAACGATTACCACAATATCAAAAGTTGGTAAATCTTAAATAAATATCTCCACAAGAATGCTTGAACTTGTGTTAAATGAAACAGTTGTTAGATTTCAGTACAATTTAAATCACTATGTTCAATTTTCTGTGATTTACCAACACTGGCTGTGTGTGTTATGTAGATGTATTACCTCATTATCTAATACTGCTTCCATGAAAAATTTGTTTCGACTTTTGTGAATTTCATTTTAAGATTCTAAAGAAGAAGAAAAAACTGTTTTATAGAACATAGAACTATGATAGATATAAGATAATTTGTTTTGTTTAATTGAGATAAACAATATAATAGAGATGTTTAAAGTTTTATGTGTGTGTGTGTGGGTGTGTGTGTACTGAAATGCCTGTTGTGCTACAGTTTTGCGAATTTCATCTTAAGATTGTAAAGAGAAGAAAATCTGGTATCTGTTTTAGGAGACCTAAAACCATGTTAGATAGAATGCAATTTGTTGTCTGTTTTGTTTATCTGAGAGGGAGATAAACATTCTGCAGAAGAAATTATTAGAGTTTTCAAGCAATTTTACGATTAAGTAAGTAACCAAGATTCTTGGAGCAGTCACACGTGAGTAAGTAGTGAAGTATATATAGGCTTAACTTGCATTAGTCTTATTTTGCTTTCTTTAAAGGCAGAATGTAGAGTAGAAGCACTGGAAGGCCCAAGGTTTGAGCCTGTGATGTGAGTTAAACATGCTCCTCACTCTGAGCTGTTGTATGTTATAAAAGTGATAGCCAATACTACTATGTGGTTATGAGTAGTCGTACGTGGCAAGTGTTGCTGACTGGTTGCTCTCCCATTGGTCAGAATTTCTGAATTAGGAACAATGCTCGAGCATTAGTTCTCTGACCTGGTCATTTAGTTCATGTGTCAAATAAGGTGCCATACAGGTTAAAAACACCAAGTAATTGTTTTCTTTGTTTGTTTTTATGTTAACAGCCAAGAAAAAATGTTATCTTGCATGTAAATTGTGACACTTTTTATGTGGACGTTTCTAGAAAGTTCTTTCTTAACATTGATATATATATAAAAGAGTTAATGTTCATCTAAACTTTATAAAACAACAGTACTATTTAAAAGACTTACAAATTTCTATCAAAAGATTTTTCAGGTTTTTATTCTAACATTTGTTTGTTAAAATTAATTTTTTTAAGTATGTGATGCAGAAAAAAAAACACATTTCCTGACATTACATAAATGTATGAAATATGCTGGATTAAAAAAAACAAACTTCCCAATATTAGTTCTTTACTTCATTGATTAAGTAAAACAAAGGACTTCTGAACATGTAAACCTTAGCATGTGACACTGTATTTCAAAGTTAAAGTATGTCTCATTAATGTGCGTCACTTCTCGGTAGCACATGCACTTGGAAGTGTTTCAGGTTAGAGTATCAATAGAAAATATAATCTTACACATGTGAAAAGATTGAGAAACGCTACTTTCTGTTTTGAAATGTAATGTAAAAAATATTTTTCAAAATTGGTTTATTAATAAAATGTAGTTGTTGTTGTTTTTTTTTGCAAAAGCTTCTTTATTTACTGTTTCAGGATGATGTTCACTTTCAGTTTGTAATACGTGTTAATAAACTCGTTTTTGCCTTGTTTTTTCTGAGAGTATTTCTAATTTTAAGATTGATCAAGGATCATTAAAATAAGCTAAATTTATCCTGGCAACTTAAATATGTTTAATTTTACAAATCTGTACAAAGCAAATTCTCACCAACGTCACAAGAAATATTAAACTGGTCATTGTCATAAGCATTATTTACACAGGGGGATATGTCCCCCCTCTTACATTGGAGTGGTACTAAATTTTTTTTTCTCAATAATTTACTGTCATATTCACAATAGCAGTTATGATTATCATCCACCATTTGAAATTAAAGTTATGCCAGTGGTCATTGTACTATACAAAACATAGAATTGATAAAACACTGTAAAGATTCTAGATATCTTGAAGTATTTTAGATCTATATGCAAGAACAAAAAAAATTTTTTTTGTTGAATAATATCCATTTAAGTACTAGTAATACTTGTATTAGTTTTATATTACAAAATTCAACTGAATTTTATTGATAAAGCTCGTACGTTTTATCATTGTTAGGTCGTGTATTGGTAACAGGATTTCTCTACTGTAGCAATGTTTTAAAATTTCATTTCGGGTTTGTTCCACTTTTATCATTTTGTTATTAGCTATAATTGCTTTAATGATTTTGATGAAACTTTAAAACAGAATTGCCATACACGTGGTTGAGGTTGTGAGGTGGCAACAAACCTCATTTTAATCTAATACTAAATATGACTAGAATATATGTCCATCTAGGTAGTAACACCAAAAACAGCACTTTTCCAGTACCGAAAGGCAAGACTCTCTTTTTTGTGGGGGGGGGGGGTTGTTATGGGATACTCTGGAGACCGGGTTGCATCTGGTACACAGAGAAGAAAGCCACGTGGAGCAAATAAATCCTCTTTATAAACACTTTTGAAGTATAAAACTAAACCGTGAATTTTTTGCGTGTTAACACTTAATAACACATCACAATTATTTTGTTATAAAGACCTACAAATCCTTGTCTGTCTGTCGATCATTTTAAAGTTGAAATCTTGTTTTTATTTCTTAACTTGCAGCGAGAAACGTATAAAATCGAGCGTATCTTTTAATAGCTATGGACAGTTTTTATGACTGAAAAAAAAGGATCTTTGGGAGCATAAGAGAAGGAAAGCAAGGGCTTGAGCCCACGTGCATGTGACTAATGTTTATACTTTATGTGCACATTTAGGATCTAGTTGACGGTTTGGCCGAAAGATGGAAGCACTGTAAATTATATTGCAAAGTTACCTTACAATTCTACTTAACACATCAGAGCGAAAGTATCACAAATTATAGATAAATCAAAACAGTCAGGATGATAATCAAACTATATAGATGCAGACACGGTAAAGAATTTAGTTGGTCTATTAATAAACTCCGTATCGAGGGGAGGTTCTTCAAATTATTAAAAATTTTTTTTAAAGCTAAACATGTTCGTCCAATTCAATGGGGGTCTTTATAATGTGACAGTCAATTCAATGGGGTCCTTTATCATGTGACAGTCAATTCAATGGGGTCCTTTATAATGTAACAGTCAATTCAATGGGGTCCTTTATCATGTGACAGTCAATTCGATGGGGTCCTTTATAATGTGACAGTCAATTCAATGGGGTCCTTTATCATGTGACAGTCAATTCGATGGGGTCCTTTATAATGTGACAGTCAATTCAATGGGGTCCTTTATCATGTGACAGTCAATTCGATGGGGTCCTTTATAAT